GAAATTGGCCAACTTACATAAAACCTGAGCCTAAATCTGAGAGGAAGCTTTTAGAGATACCCCCCCCCCCCTGCAAAAAACAACAACTGCTACTACTTAATAAATAAGCATAGAAGATGACTAAGTTGCTATATATGTACAGCCTAGTCACTAACTTGGTATTCTATTGAGACCTATAGTCAGTTGTAAGGGCTTGGCATGTCACTTGTTGAGTAGATAAAATCAACCCACTAACAGTAAAATGATTGTTATATACTGAGAACTGAAGCCAGTTTGTGGAATCAGTTTGAGATGGTCCCATTCATAAGAATCAGATAGTAACTTTGGATGAAGTAAACCTGTTCACCAGGATTCCTACAAATCAGGTTCTATTGATAATTAGAAGCAGATTAGAATTAGACCCCATCCCTTGAGGAATGTACAAGCACCTTGATAGATAACCCTGATAGAAATGTTGAATATATACAGAATACTTTGAGACAACAGCTTTAGAAACAATGCCGCTAAAGCCAATTATATGGCCAAGATGTACAGATGACACAGTCATACACCAGCCTCACCAGGAAGTGTGCAAATATGGCTGAAACATGTAAATGCAGTAAAACATTGAATTGAGTTAATGAAATTGGAGACCAAATACCAGCTGGTCTCCTTGGATGTAGTAATAAATTTTGCAGAGATGGGATTCAATACATTAGTATCTCACAAGGGAACTGTCACTGGATAACATCTCAACTTCATCTCTCACCAACTATACAGAGTAAAGAAAAGTATTGCCTGATGCCTACATCATATAAAAAAATCATATGATGTCCCAGTTACTTAACAGGAAATTACCAACAAACATACCTAGCAAATATAACCTCGGATTCTTCAGGTGTAGACAGACGGGTTAAGATTGGGAAACTGGCATTGTTTGTGTCTGATATGTCAAAGGCATGTCAGAAAGAATGAAAATCTGTAGTCCATATAAAGACGACAAAATTCAGAAGCAGTTCAACCTCACAGAGAAATCTAGCAAGTCAAGCTTAACACAGAACAAAACATGACCAAGAATTGTGTATTCCATATCTTGTAATTGTAGCAAAATTTATATATATTAGAATTTTTTGGTAAATCCTCACAGTATTTAGTATTGTCAAAATTATCATTTTATAATTTTCTTTGACAATGGATGGCCCCCTTTAAGATCAAGTGAGAAACAAATTACCATACTGTGACTACAATTTCTCACACATCCTTAGGAGACAAATAGATTCTTTTTCCTTTTGAGTCAATTTAGTTATCAGTTTTCACGATTCTTGTCCCCAGCCTGTCTTTGAATTGGCAAACAAAATTTTTTTAGTGATTTTAGATAACCATAAAAGTAGAGCCTTTTGAAAAAATTGACCACCTATCCAGCTCTTGGGTGGTTTCCTTTTCCAGAACACAGGTGGATGGATAGGGGTAGTGGGACCCCAGCCAGTGTCCATGTAGTCAGTGATGTCCAGTAGTCAGTGAGGAAAGGAACAGCAAACAGTGAAGAGTCAGCAATGTAAGTGTCCTCTTTCTGTGGCTGGAAGTTAGTTTACCTTGATGAAGCCTAAGAAAGAGTTGTTGGTTAAGTGAGAAATTGTATTGTTGCTATTTTCCAACCAGTGGTGTAAATTGTTCTAGTTCCACGTGCCATGTTTAATGGATGTCAGTTATCAGTTATCTCCTGTTAATTTCCCTCTGAAAGTTCTCCACTGCTGTATTGAACTCACACTTTTTGGGTCCTGTCACAGGATCCAACCAACATCTTTATCCACTGTGCCATGTGTCCTAGAGGACATCTGTGTATGAATTTCTGGGTATTATAAACCTAGTCTTCAGTAACCATTTTTACCAGTGCTCATATTGCAACTTTTGTTGTTATTATTGCTTTTCTCTAGCACTCCTTATTACTGGTTCCCATATTGTATTCATTTCTATGCTTGGTCGGCTCAGGAGAATTTTGTGGTCTAGCATATGTGCTGATTCCTTAAGTTTACGAATTTTCCAATGGTGTTCCTTGTCTATGTCTACACCAGTTACTATTATGCCATCAGAAATATTTTTTTGATACAGCAAAAACTTTATGAGTCACGTCACCTCAGCCAAATTTGAATATAACCGAACTGCAGCCATGGCAGAGTATTTTCTTACCTGTTTCAATTTAAGGTTCCTGTGAAGGAAAACAAAAAATGATACAGAAAACAAAATAATATATTATTATTATTTTTTTTTTTTTATTTCAGTGATACCACCAAATATTGAATTTTACTTTAACATTTTTTAGAGAAAAGAAAAACAAAACTATCAAGACATCTTGTCTTTAAAAAAAAAGAAAGAAAGAAAAAAAAAAAGATTTCATGTTTAAGACTTTTTCAGAAAGTTTGTATTTTTGATCTGACAACCAATGAAAGTAAAGAACGAAAACGCAAGGAAATTATTTACAAAATTCAAAGAAAGAGTTGAAAATGCTGCCAAGTGACAAGAAAAACTGTAATTTTCTTAAATTGATTTTAAGTAGTAATTCTAGTTTTCTAAAGGTTAAGAATTTTAGCCATTGTTAATAAATAGAAGAGGTTGAAAGTTTTTTTATTTTTTTTTTTATTTTAAATAAAAACCCTTGTTAGTTGATAGGCCTGAATGGCATTCAGGCTAGTCTAATTACAAAATCTTTCTGGATGAAAATTTGATATCTACCAAATATTTCTTATGGGTTAGAATATATGAAAAATAATGAAAATATATATATATATATATATATATATATATATACATACATACAGGCAACAGTTTGTTTCATGCTAAACACAATCATCAGGACTGATGATTGTGTTTAGCATAAAACAAACTGTTGCCTCTGGAGCCACTTTTTATACTTACATATGCTCTATCCCTAATATTGAGTACTTTTAACCCATAAATATAGCTTATCCTTAAAACTATATATATATATATATATATATATATATATATATATATATATATATATATATATATATATATATAATCTCATATTATATAATATTATATTTTAATTTGTTTTGCTTAAACATTATTTCAGATGGATACCCATATTTGAGTTAATGTTCTGTTTATTTAATTAAACAGTATTTTTATTTCATTACAATTACCGGCCTGAATATTTGAAAAATTTTGTCAGAAAATAGGCATCCTTTGCAAAATTTTTCAAATATTTAAGCTGGTAAATGTAATTAAATAAACAGAACATTTACTCAAATATGAGTATCCATCTAATAATAACGTTTAAGAAAACATATATAACTGGTCTGTGAGAGTGAGGGAAAATCTCAATGAGAAGAAAGAAAAGGATAAAAAGAAGACAGTTGAATACTTTAAGATTTTTTTTCCTTGCAAAATGAAGTGAGAAAATTGCTTCTTTAATAGTTTTTTTTTTTTTTTTTTTTTAAAGTTTAATTGAAAATTCATTGGATTTCAGAACAATTCAATTTGAACTTGAGAAAAAGTCAGTTTTTTTTTTGTTGCTTTTTTTTTTTTGAAAATGAATGAAAACCTGCTGGTGTTGGTATTTCTACCAATCATTTGAATAGTGGATGCTATGAATAAATGAATGAATTGGGCATCAATGGCCAGAGTGTTGTTGTTTGCTCATGGGCTCAAACCTGAGCCAACCACGTCAGGTCACATGGCTAAGTAAAGAACAATATCTTTACTTGATGAGCCACAACAGCCACACCTTTGATATACTCTGTGGTTGAGGTTTGCAAAAACAATAACAAGGTCAACTGAACAGTCAATCAAACTTTAAAACAGCAATGAGAAGTTTCCCAGAGAAAGCGTTTCGCATTGTAGCGTTGACGGGAAACTACTTTCCTCATTTCTGTTTGAAAAATAATTACCTCATAGATACTGTGGATTTTATAAGTCTGAAAAGAGGGAGGGATTTTTTGTTAATGACTTAATGATAACAAGTTTCCTTTATCCTAAACCCGGGAATGAAATTGTACTTAAATTGTGGCCTTCCAGTAATAATGCTCTACCATAAAAGCTGTCATTTCCACAATTACAAAATAATATCCACATTGAGCTTTGTCCCCTAAAATCTGATTTCTGGACAATATAATTTTCTTTGAGTAGGCCAATGTGAAACTTTTAGGTGCAGAGTGTGAATGTCATCAAGGATGGGAAGGAGACAAACAGGCACAGCAGTGTCAAGAAGAAAGTGGAATCGATTTCAAGAAAATATTTAGAAATGTCTTCTAACCTCCAAAACATTAGAAAATATAAGCTTTTTTACTTTGATCTCAGGCAGCCTTCTTTATTATTTCTGCCAATATTTTGAGGAATTTCAACAGAGTGTAGAAGCCAACTTGAAAATAAATGTTAAACTAAAATACTGTTTTAGACTGAAAATGTTTACCATTTTTCAGCGGCCAGCATGTGATGTATGAATTTACAATATCAGGGACAGGCATTGTCTATGACAGGTAAATAAGTGAAGGATTTATTCTGACAAAAGACATCAACCGCATTCTACCCAACATGCATAGCTGCTACTTGGGCAGGGGTGGGGGGTTAGATATGACTTGTGAATTGTAAAAGTTTCTGAAATTTCAATCACTATGACTGTATATGGTTTAGCTTCTACAATCACCAAAAACCAGGTAATGTTGTCAGAAATAATAAAGAAGTTTATTTTTATTGTATGAGATTAAAAAAAAAAAAAAAAAAAAAAAAAAAAAAGTGAAAATATATTGGTCTCTGAAGATGACTGATTAGCTTAAACAACTGAACTGATGGCCTTGAACAGTGAGTTAAGTTGAAAGCTAATCAGGAAGAAAAACAATTTGGATTAAGGCTTTGCTTCCCTTGCACCCACCCATGCCAAACATGAGATGTAATATGAACGTGTGTAACAATGAACATATCAGAGAGAGATGAATGGTTGCTTTTAGTGAAAGGTGTTGAATGCTGAAGGCTTCAGTGCTGACCTTCCTGGCCTGGATGTGCTAGAAAGCGTGATGGCTCAGTTCAGACTGAAAGAAAAAGAAAGAATTAAAATAGACAATAAAGATTATTTAGGGCCAATGTAAACTGATGTTTTATTAAAAATGCCTTTAAAACATAAAATCCTGGTCTCTTAAACTCTTCAGGCATAACTGTTAGTTTTACAATAAACTCAATCATCAAATGCCAAAATAAAAATGGTTCAATAAGTTCAAATAATTAGTAGGCACCAATTACAACCACCCCGTTTTCCACCCTTAAATTGGTGGCAGTAATACCGAGAGTTGGTGCCGACCAAATGGAAAGTATTTTCTTGTTCCATTTTATCAGGAGTAAACGGACACAACAAGTACTTGTTCATTCATACATTTAATAGAGGAGAAATTGAAAATATTCATCCTCCCTGAATTAGACAGCTTCCTCAATAGAAGATTAGAGTTTGTTAGTAAGTCACCACCTGAAGGGTTGAGAAGGTAGTGGTTGTAGTCAGCTCCTACAAATTGGTAGAATTTGTTGCATTGTTTTTATTTTGGCATCTGATGACCGAGTTTACCATGAAACTGACCTGAAGGTTGGCAGAAACTGATTTTAAATGCATCTTTAATAACAGTGAATTTTGTAGTGACTATCTTTGACATTGAGAACTGTTTAAAAAGAAAAAAAACAAACAAAAAAACAAATGGGTTAAGTTGTAACAATTATCACTATATGAATATTAATTTTATATTATACATATTCTATAAATTAATTAGTAAATGTTCAAAGGACTTTTCAGTTAATTTGATAAATGAAGAAACATAATTTTGAATACAGCTTCCTTCTTTACAGGAAAGATTTCAGCAATGAAAAAAAAAATCAAAACAAAAGAGGAATTACCGTATCTCACTGCTTATAAGACGCCCTGAAGCATTAGATGCCCCCCCCCTCCCAGATTTTGAAGGAAGAAATTGGAAAAAAAAAGATTTTTCCTTGTACTGCATAGCCTGCCCCAATATCCTCAATTATCCCCACTGAATAGCATATTTCAGCATGAAAACCTGACTAATTATGACAAATTCATCACAGACTGAGAACAAGTACCAAATTTATAGTAACTATTCAGAATGTAATAATTCGAAAAGAAGTCAGAGTGCATAATACGAGTGAAACACAACCTTATTGCAGCATGAAATCCTCACTAATCATGAAAAATTCATCACAAACCAAGATAGAACACTAATTTTAAATTAGAGACATGGTTCAGAATTGGATGTAACTATGGAGCTGATGCTCATCCCACACCCAAACTTATAAGCCCCATCATTGACCTTCAATTTATAGGATGCAGGGCAGCTTTTGGAGATATTTTATAGGGAACAAAATGTGTCTTATAAGCAGCAAAGCAGTCCTTCAATTGTTTTGTTGAGCCTTCAATTTTGATACCTGAAAGGACTGACATGACATTAGATATATCCACAAGTGTATAATAAAAAAAAATAAAAAAAACTAATTTAGTTTTTTTTTTTTATATTATCTTGATATTAGAAAGGAATATATTTTTGATATAATAAAAAAAAAAAAAAAGAAAAAAGTCGGAGTAAATTTTCTTTGATTGGTGAATTCTAACTGATCTGAAAATATTGAACCAGATGATCTATAAAATGTCTGTGTTAACAATGAATAAGGCATTTTGTATTCTGAATGAGTATCATTCAAGATTTTAGCAATATGCTCATTAACCACAACCAATTCCTGTAGGTTTGCTGATTGAACACAGATTCTTACAACTCCTGTATACTTGACAAAACAGTTGTTTGGACCGAGCACACGAGTTTCTCATTAGAATTTTAAAATTGAGGGAAATTTTCAATTCTAATTAAAAATCCTAAAACAAGTGGCTTTTAATACAAATTAAATCATTTCATATTGATGGTGAGTAAATAATTTAGATTTATCATAAAAAGAAAGATTTAATATCAAGTTTAAATGCTGCTATTTTAGACTGAAGTTCTTTCTGGTCAGTGTCATTTTTTTTTTTTAATTAAATTTCTATTTAATATTATTTATAGAAAGGAAGAAAATTGAAAAACATTTCATATTTTTCTCCTCTCCCAAAAACATGGCACAATGGCTTTGTGGAGATTTTGGATGGAAATGAAAAAAAAAATAAATAAAAAAGCACACAAAAGAGAAAAAGACACACACACACAGATTGAAGAATGTGTGTGTGTGTGTGCACACATACACACACAAAAAAAAACAAAACAAAAAAAAAACAAATCTGAATGTTACAAAAGGAAAGAAATCCAAGCAAGTAGTTTGTGTTTGCATTGAAAGAAGAAAGAATTAAAGAAAAGAGAGAAGTTATTAGTAATGTCAGTTGTCTTGCAGAACCAAATTCTAGCAAAGAGCATAAACCACACAGAGGGAGGGAGGGAGAGAGAGAGAGAGAGAGAGAGGATATGTTTAGTTCCATCAAAACCAGAACAGACAGAGGTTCTATTTTTCTCAATTAATTAATTATACACTTAAGATTTCTCCAAGACCTTTCACAGAAGATAGCTGTTTGGATTTCACTAGCATGAACGATAACAAATAAAAGCACACCACTGATGTTGAGTTGGATTCTCCCTTGGAAAGCCATATTTTGATTCTGAAAAGAAATTCATTTGACAGACATTGGAAGTTACACTTTGTAAATGTAGATTTCTTCAGAAATCACATTTGAGTGACAATAAGGAAGAATAGATTTCCGTGATTGCAGAAGAGACATGATTGTTTCCAATTTTAGAGAAAAATTAAAGAAAATATATTTTAGAGAAATATAAACAGGATGAAAGATAATCATCTGTGTTTTTTTTTTTAAGGTTGCTGATTTTGATGAACCCTATTTAGAATTTTGAAAATCATTTTGAGCATTTAAAGGCTGACTATGAAGAAAATAAACTTTACATACAAACCAGTCTTGTGTATATATATATATATATATATATATATATATATATACACACACACATATGACAATAGGAAAATATGAAATACAATATGACAATATATATATATATATATATATATATATGACAATAGGAAAACTGCAGTTATTGCTGACGTGTTTCATCCAATGCTTTCTCAAAGCAAAAAACAAAATGAATTTAATTAAAGAATGTAGCTAACAAAAAACAGAATTATTATTAATGTTCTTTAATTAAATTCATTTTGTTTTTTGCTTTGAAAAAGTCCACATTGGACGAAACGCGTCAGCAATAACTAGTTTTCCTATTGTCATTTATATTTATAAATATTGTCTTTTCTACAGGTTAACTCTGAGAAATTTTCATATGAGTGGTTAGAATATTCACTTTCTAGCCATGAGGCCCAAGTTCAAATCTCACTAGGGTTGATTTGTCAGGAAAGTGACTTCTTAATGTTATTCGTCTTGAGAAGGCAATCTCAGCATATAGCATGTTTGGAAAGTGCCTGAAAATCATACCACAGGTTGCCCCAAACCTTGTGAGTGAAATTGGGTAGATAGAACCCCTTGGGAGCTGTTTATAGTTGTGCCAGCACAAAGTCACAAGCCATCATCACCAAGGGTTTGAGCCTGATGGCCTTATACAGACTGCTGATCATGCAATGTCTCCCAGAAACTGTACCTAAGGTCAACTCAGCATAGTTGTAGTATAAACCACAGGTGGGATGTGTGGGTGTTGAACAAATGAAAATGTGCCTGAGGTAGTAGACAGGCATCCTTGGACAGAAGTGGCCCTATATATATATATATATATATATATATATATATATATATATATATATATATACACACAGTGTGTAAGGGTGCATCAAAAATACTTTTACAAAGCAGGTTCCTCACACCAAAACAAAGACAAAAGTCCACATAAGCAAGTCTGCAAATCATTTGTTTTTGAGTTATGTTTAAAGAAAGTTTATGGTAGATAGTGCAGTGCCATGTAGACTAGGTTACATTTGTCATATGTGTTCATTTATGGCTAGTCTGTCTTCATGTGTAGTAGTGAGTTAATAGAGATGTGTTCCATTTAATAATGTCAAAATATTCATATCATGAGCAGAAAGATATGATTTTTACATATGGCTTTGCGAATAGTAATGATGCATGGCTGTATGAGATTGTGTTTTCAGACTGAAGGCAGCCGAGTCATACAACGTTTGTTGTGGTTTATCGTCCTGTTGCTGAGACAGGATCCTTAGCAGCACAAACTATGGATGGAGGAAGACTGAGATCTGCTCATATGCCTGACTAAAAAGAACATATTCTACAGGCTGCCAGAGACAATCCAGGTTAATAGCTCACATCAAGTCGCCCTAGCATGTTGTACATCTCACAGTACTGCATGGAGGTCTAAGTGTAAGCGTTCTGAAAGCAAAGGAAGTATTTGTCACAGATTACTTCCACAACACTAAGAAAAATCACTGTAAGTACAGAGTCAAATATCGGGGACAGAAAGAAATGCTGAAAACTCGATTCGCCGGTATTATCTTGAATCACAATGCATGTAACCAGTCAAAAAAATAACTCACTCTCTAGCAAACACCGAAGCCAAAAATGCACAAATTTTCCGCCTCCGAATCGAGAACACCAACTGCTTTTATCAGCAGAACCTATTTTTTTCATTCGTCGACAGCTGGGAAAGGATGCTCCGTAATTTGCATATCGAAATACTGTTATAGTGACTCCTGCGACGGACTTGTTTCTTGTCACTTTTTCCATCGTAGAATACACGCGACGTGCTGTCGCTTGATTTGATGAGGTAAGTCGCCGTTTCTTTGCTATAAGATTTTTGCTGACTACTTTTTGGTAATGTTTCTTCGGCAGATCGCACACAAAACACAAACTTATTTCTGGGGTACATGATTATCTCTTTCACTTCAAGAGTAGCTTGTGTATCCATATCATTTGCAATGTGTGCAGGGTCTTTCACTCTCTGATCACTTACTACAGGAGAACCTTTGCCAATGGTTTATTGCACAAACTGGAGATCCATTGTTTGTCTCTTCAGTCTTGTTGATTGTG